TTTTGGTAAACAAAAATAACAGATAAATTTACGCGGTAAAAAACCTGGCTGTTATCATCATTTCTATTACCATGTCTTTATTATACACGATAGCTACATATTTGTATTATTCAAATGACATGCTCTATTTAACGAACAAGATATTGTAAGGTACAGGTCAAAAAAAAAAGTGAACTGAATATGAATGACAATATAGTAACGGAAATAAAACTATATACCTACTAAGTTGCCATTTTCTTAAACTAAAATTATTATCTTATGCAACTATAAATAAATATTAATTTAACCGAAGTATTTATATGAAAATGATAGTGTAATTATAATTACTAATTACAAAAAATATTCATGGAATTTTTATAGTCACAACCGTTTTATCATCACAACTTCTAAAATTCCTCATCTAACTTGAATTTTTTTTTTATTATAAAATGTAAATTAATTATAAACTATAATATTGTAAAATTTAAAGACATTTGAAATCCTTGTTTAAATTGTTTAGTTACTTATATCCTCTACTTAATATAATACCACGAATTACGAGAAAATAATTTATCTATTTGTACTTTTTCAAATATTTTAAGAAAAATAAAAATAAATGAATAATAGGTTATAAATTAGCAATACAAAACTGAATTACTCTGAATTAAATTTCAATAAAATTAAAAAATTAGAAATCAACAGACATAACATTATGCCTATTGAACTTAACACATAAACATTAATTTATTTTAAAAATAATACCAATTACTTCAATTGTTTTTATTTGTTAAAGGAAAATACGTAATTTTCATTTTGGATTTATAATTGAAATATTTAGCTTAGGTATATAAATCATTTTTTAAATTTATAAACAATGTTAGTAGGTACTCGTCATGTTAAATTCAAAAATATTTCTAGACTTTTTATAAGACACGCACATAACATATTAGTTTAATATATTTATAATATTAACTATGTACTTACCCAATAAAAATTGAATATTTTGATTCTAGTTTAACAATAAAATCACGTATTTAATAAAATGAATGATTAATATACAGCATTTTATGAATGTGATACTACTTACAAACTGCACTCATACGGTATAACCATACGTCCAGTTTTCAGAAAGTTGTAAAAAATAATGATAGTAAATTTTAATTAGTTGATGAATTATTGTTTCTATTATGTTTAACTAGTATATGTGCATGTGACGTATATATATATATGCATGGTTGACGGGTGACGAATGACGACGGTGAATGACACAGGGCTGTTTGGTATTGTATTGGGATAGATAATTATAATAATAAAATATAAAAATACCTATTGTGGCGAACGATGTATAACACAAAAATATTAACTTTATTATAATATATAAACATCGGAATTTCAGCGTTAATACAAAATTACCAAATTATTTTCATAGTTCATTATTTCATTATTACAGTTTTAAGGTTATTTCGTCAGTTATTTAATTGTCAACCGTTTTCTTTACGCAGACAACTTTTCTTATACATATACAAAAAAAATTTGTTCATAATCAAAATGATGAAGATTTTTTTTTTTGTTCCGTTTTAAATAAAAAAATATTTGGTCTTACCTCATAGGTGTTAATATTATTTCTTTATTTATTAAATATTATTATTATTATTCAAATCAGAAACAAAAGCTAAAACATGTTTTCATTGTCAATAATAAATTAGTAACCAGAAAAACACTTTAATAGCAAATTGCCATAGGATTTATAAACAATCCTATACCGAGTATACTTGATACTATTAATGTGAGAAATAAAAAATATTAAAAAAAATGTCTTCATCTATAGCTAAGGTCCATTCTAGTATACCCACATACAAAAGTAAAATCACGAATACCATGGCTACCACGGTTAAGTTACCACACAAATATTTAAATATTGTAATACTCGAGAACCTAAAGTATACCTTGGAAGAGTTATAGTGTAGTAGTATTCATAAAATTAAAATTATTTAAACCTATTTTGTACCTCATACTAAGAGTTTATTTCTTGTACTTTAATTATACATATGTTATATTTCTAAAACTATAAATATAAATTTAATCACATTATAATATTTTATATTATTATAATACTTTATACTTCCTTTTAAAAAAAATATATTAGCAACAACTTAGAATTATTTATTTGTTACACAGAAAAAATAAATCACACATGAAATCAACAAATGGAGTGTAAGACGAATTTACACTATGTTCTAACGATGAGTTGTACATACTATTGAATCATGAAGATCATAGGGGAAATATATTTAGGTTATAATTCATTCCAAATAATAAAGCGGAATATTTTGAAGAAGGAAATAAAAGTTTGAAAGACTTACAGGGACCACAAGTCAATTCTTTGATTACTGTAAATTGTCTTTTATCAATGTCTATCACTTTCGGACCCAAGCCGATTTCTATTTGAATCAGATCATCAGATTTCACTTGGATAAAATTAAATAAAAAACAACTTGATTCAAAAATAAAATATTGCTATACCATTTTTGAAAAATTATAAACAATTTCTCAAAATCAATGAAAACTGATAATTCACCTACGATCATGTTCACGAAAAAAACTGAAATATCAATTAATATTCTTAAATATATTATTTAAAATATTTTTCTACACAATAAAACGAGTAAAAATGTTTAAAAAAAAACGATCTAGAACCAACAATATTACTTTCGGTATCATCGTAAGAAATGAGTGTTTGATTTAACCGACAACCACAGGGGTCTTCACCTGACGCCTATTATTAATCCGTAGGTATTGATAAAAAAAAAAAAAAATCGAAAAAAATCGTAGTTTTAAAAACAAGTACCGGTACACATATGTACAATACAAATTAAAATGGTGATTTTTGTTAGCTTGAGGTACCAAAAAAAACCTGTTATGATTTAATCTGGCCTCTGGGGACAATAGCTTTTATTTTATTATTCCATCTCATACCTAGTGGTTATTTACCAGCCCAATGTTAATGTTGTTTTGTTGATCAAACGAACTGGTTGCCGCCACTCAGCAGCAAGAATCGTGACCTAATAATCCTATTTTACTTTTAAACCTATTAGTCTACGCGATACGATCTCTTATCAGTTCTTCTGACACTAAATGATTTGCTTTGTATTATAAATATCGAGATAAAAATACTACATAGGTTTTACTTTTCATTTCTAGTTTTACAAATAACTACTTATATTCACAAATTATAAAATCTTTATTAATCTCGCTAATATACGTATATATATATGAGACAATGGCACAGGTAATCGCTTATAAAAAACAATAAACGTTAAGCAACAAGTTATAAAAAAAACCTATTGTTTGTTAATATTTATATCCCAGTTAGAATTCTATAGGGGAGAAAACGATGAAAGCATACACAGTAAACCAAGAATGAGAGGGATAATATCAGGTTAAATATGGTTGAATTTTTTATACATATACCTGTCCAAACCAGCCAAAGTAGTTACCAGGTACCTACATTATATTTTTCGTTTTAGGTTTCAGGGCCTATAAGCGGTTCCTACAATCAAGTATTAAAAAGGTTAACCATCTAGGGTTGTTAGGATTTGATTTTTATCGGGTTATAACACAACGAAATTATTCTTATACAAAGCAGATGTCTAACCCTCTTTATTCTGAAAACACCCAGAACAGGGATTCTAACCACCATATAAAGTAAATTACTTATGGCGACGACAATTCTAAAGCAAGTTGTTATTTCAATAATCTTAAAATATAAGAAAATTATTCAATATCTTTCAAAATGAATTGTCATTTGAGAATACCAACAAAAATAAAATCTTTAAAAACAATTTTTTAAATAATAATTCTCATTAAGTCGTAGTATTAATTATATTACCTATATCATATACAGATGCAAAATAAATAAACACTAAAATCCCTGAAATACTTCGGATTATTTCAAATTCGATGTATGCACAAAAGACAATTATGAAAAACAGTAACTAATTTCATACATAAATATTAATATTATAGACAGCTCCCGGTAGTCAATAATATCTACGAAATAAACGGATTTGTATTTAACATTGAAATCGTCATAATATAAAATTTGTATCAATAAATTCACTACAGTTAAATATAGAAAATTATAAAACATTCTTCTTTCGTTTTTTATTCACTCGATAAATATTTATTTCAATTCGAGAATTGCTCTACTTTTCCTAGATCGATTTCTATACTAGGTTACAGAATATAACATTAAAAAGGCTTTCTATACTATCTACCTATATTCACATTTTCAAAATTCAACAACGAACGAGATTATTTTCAACATAGAGAAGTTGGTTACATTTTTATTAAAATATATAATTAACAAGATAATTTTGGCCAAAATCAATGATAAATCAAATTCCTTAGGCGACAAGTCTCACGTAACATAAACAACTAGGATAAAATTAAACTAAAATACACTACATTTTAATGATAAGTAATTATTATGCAGCTAATTATTTTAGAATATACTTCCTATACTTTTTTCTACGGATATTTTATGAGATTTATAATTCTGGCATACTATATAATCAATTACTCAAAAGGACACCAAACATACCTAGTTTCTAAGAATTGATCAACTTGAAAAAGTATTATATCAATACTAAGAAACTACGTGTCTTACTTGATGAAGTACCTGTACCTACCCACTGGTATCATATATTCTGATTTCACTCATCCATCATGAATTTCTCAAATAAAATTCGGTACATCATATTCTATTACGAACGTATGGTAGTCTAAGAAACATAACCAGACGTGCAATACTAATGAAATATAACAATAATAAAAATAATAATAATTAAAAAAAAAATGTTTGTCGTAAATTGTCTTTTAAACAATGTCAACTGCGTTTTTACGGATCACAAAATGTCAACTCCAAACTACTTCAAATAACCTACATAAACGTTGAACTACACGAATATTAATCTAAACCAAGCATTTCAATAGCGTAACACCATGGAAACAGTACTGACCTGGTTAGAAAATTTAAGTTTAAAATTTTATCTCGGTTTCCCGGCCAACTGGAAATCGATATTTGGGCGTAATAAGCGGTGCACCGTTAAGTGTATTGCCGATTTCACCGTGCACGGTCAACGCGTACGATACCGCAAAACGGAATAAAATTGTCACGTATCGAGGGCAAAAACGAACGGGTATCGGGAACGTTGCGGTCTGGGTTTTTTTTCTTCGGAATAATTCGAAAACGGCGAGCGCGAGCGAACGGATAACGCGTACAGAGATAATGATACCGCGGACTGGAGAACGACTGATCACAATAACGTTACCGACCGAGTCAACGCATGTGTGTGCGAGGCGATTACCAACACGCGAAATAAAACGACTTCCGAGCACAGCAACAATTGTACAGTGGTGCCGCGTGCGACGACGGAAAATGTTCGACGACCGCCATAATAGTAGTATCTCGTAGTAGCACACGATAATAATAATAATAATAACATGTAGGTCAGTCGCAGAATGGGTTTCGCGTCGGGCCGAGATGCGCGCGCGCGACCGGATGAGACGAACGAATGTGTATGGTGTTTTCACGTGCCGAGATGATTTGTACTATACTTTCTGACCTTATACACTGCTTTGCATTAGAGAGTCCATAATTATATCCGTTTAAAGACTCTTTGTACCCGTATAAGGTATAATAATAATATTATGACGTACATTATTACTTTGTACGACTCGTCGTGGCCCGTGGCTCGGACAGATACATCGCAGATACAAGCACGCCTATCCGTGGGCATATTTTTTAAAGGGTATAACGCGCGTCGTACGTTTCCGTGCGCGTAAGTACGTGTATATTTTAATTGTCGGACAGTGTGTTCATTAATCATCATGATTTATAAATGATAAAACGTCAAAACGATGGGCCATACTTGCACAGGCCTTGAAGTGTTTTTTGTAAAATTACTCTTTAGGACTTTACTACTTGTACATGAACTTGCAATTTTAAAGTCCATTTATTATGACGCGCGAACGTACTAAAAATATGATTGTTTTCAATTCATTGGGTTCGATTTACTGTTTCAACAGTTTTAATGAATTTCAAAACCTATATTAAAATTATTATTTGTTCGTTCATTTTCAATTTTATTAAGAAATATACCAATATACATATAGGTATATCAAAATATTTAATATACTTATGCAAGGAAAAGACAAAAAGTAAATTATTTAAAAAAAATATAGGTATAGCCAATGGGCTCGCACCACAACAGGGCCCTCACCACACGTTACACAATTAAATAATATAATAAGCTATCCAATAATTCAATTATATTTTTTTTCATTTAAAGTTTTCAAAAAACCGGCCCCGGACATCCATGACCGAAGAAAGACTCAAAATGTAAGTTTTACATAGCATTGAGAGTCACATTTTAAAATAAATAAATTATGAAGATATAATAAATAATTGTATCAATACAAAGTTAAGACGTAAGCCGATCACAGTTTAAACCTTTAAACCTAGTTATAATTATTTACTTACCTATATTATGACGTTAATTTAATTACTATCGATGCAATATTAATAAATGGTGTTGAATACAACTACGTGGTACTTTAATCTACACTTTTAAAGTGTATTTCAAATATTAATTTTTTCACGCAAAAAACTAGAAGTTAGAAAGTTGCCTTACACTTGATTTTGGAAGAAAATTGTATGAAAATATTTTAGAGGTGGATTAAACCGTTCTTTTTGAGGACTACTTATTTATAAGATAAAGATTTATAAAAAAAATAAACAAAGAAAGTCAAATAAACAATTTTAAACCTCATTTATCAAATTTATTTTCTATTGTGACGTACATGAAACTTTAAAGTTACACCTAGTATTTAGATCAGACATATATAAATATATAATATCATAATGATAGTAAATGTAAATACCTATATCACCAATTTTTCAAATTGGTATATACAATCATTGATTACACAGAAAAAAACCTCATTATAATTTACAAAAATAACAGTTAAATTAACAAAAGCATTGTTAACATAGAGTCAACAAATTGTATTATTAATAATAGGATTGTAGTATTATTCATCACCAAATTAACAAACATCACTTTTATTTGTTTGAAACCTTGTTTAATCGAATTATATTTATCTGACAATTTTTCAATTAATGGAAATTTTGTTCGGTTAAATTAACAAATTATGTAATCAAATTAACAAATAATTTTATAAAGTTGACAATTCATACTTAATAAAATTAATATAATTGCTAATTAAATTAAAAATACTCGCATCATTAATTCAACAGTAAATCATTGTTATTTTGAAAAAGTTAAATTGTTATTATAAACCTTAATTTAGTAGGGTCTAAAAACTCCAAAACAATAAAAAAAGCCTACAACAATTTGATCATATGTCAAAATCTTTATTTAAATTTAACCTTTCAGATCCTTGATTCTGGTAACGCCTATGGTGTTAAACTGTCAAATTCGTAAAATTGCCTCACTTCTAAAGTTTCTTATCGAATTCCTTAAATAATTGCCTTCGCCGAAAATGGTCAACGTAGTCGAACGCGATCAAATAGTTTGATATTAGGTATATCGTGCAATTAATCGCATTTTAACGTTGCAACTACTGATCGATCGTGGGTTGTTACGGAAGTCTGGCGGTGCACACAGGACAAAATTGACGCATAGCGTCGCACCACGTTGGATCACTGAAATTTTCACGATAAATTCGTCCACATATGATGCTGCATTAAAATTTAAAATTAAATTAAATAAAAAAACATATTTATGTACCTAACAGTCATAATAATATAGAACACAGTATAGATCTAAGAAAGATCACATAACACGCCGACTCAAGTATCGAAATACTGAATATTTCATCACTCGTTTTTGATTACGAACTATATTTTTATACCCGTAAATAATATAATACTTAACGAATACATATTATATTATACTTAACCACATGTCCAACCCGTAAAAATCGGGATCACCAACACTTTTTCCGCTCCCAAAAATAAAACATATTGCAGTTGTAGGTGTTCATACTAACATTACATGGTATATTTCATGTGAAAACATGATACCAATGATGTCACTAAAATCTAATATGATTTCTAAAGTAAGTACCTAGTATCTACATGGCTAAATCTGTTTAACTAAAAATAAAGTATGTAGCTGTAGTATAAATGATGTACAAGAGAAATCATTAGTCACTACCTAATATGTACTTATCTTACCTAGTTATTTGTAAAAAAAAAAATAAATATTAATAATAATTGAAGTATAAATGTGTTCCTTTGATGGAACGAAAAAATTAACTTGTTAGTTGTTCCAATTGCCTAGAATAGAAAACGAAACATTAATTTTAAACTAAAGTAACAGAAACGTGATTTACGAACGAGTTCCTTTTTTAAAACTTTGCGTTTTATGTTTCAAATACTCAATCACAAATCAATATTTATCACCTGTTTTAAAATTATTTTGACTATGTATTTATTCAGCCTGCATTTTGACGGTGCAATATATATACTAGTTGCGTGCCTAGGGAAAAAGGAGTGTTCAACCCCCGATTGAAAAAAACGGGGGGTCCCGTCTAAACATTTTTATAGAATTTAAGTTTAATATTATAAATATTTACCAGAGTTATTTATATAATCCATTATCAATCTATCTAGTACTATAAAATTAATTATTATCAAGATTATTATCTTGTGAAATAAATATCTTTAAAATACATCGTAGTGAAAATATTGATCGCCCCTCTTGAAAAAAAATGTCTACGCACACCCCTGACTATAATTGTCTATGATGGTGACTTCAAAGCGGATGTACGTAAATTTAGCTATCTAGGGTGTCATTTTTAAGAAATTCACGGAAGGCTCTCTACCCCTCTCATCAATATTATGCAAATTCAAAACATTCGTATAATGTAATAATATGTTCTAAAAAGTATTTATTCAAGAATACTATAAACAATTTTATTTAACAGAGAATTATTTTTTTTTATTCAACATATATTTATGTTTAAAAACAAATAAAAAATAACACATAAATCAATTTTATTGGCTTCAATTTTTTTTTTTTTTTATAAAATAGATATCAAATTAAATCTATCCTGTAATATGAACCTTCTTAACCTTGTTGTAATACGTTACATGGCCGAAAAACTCCTCTCACATGTTACGGAACTATTTAGCTATGTCTAGATTATTTAATATAATTGAAATGAACTTGGAAAATCATTCTCGTGCAAAATTACCTTGATATTTTCTACGATCAACTATAAAATTATTAGATATTTGAGCTATACTATTTTTAGCAACGACCATTTCAGATTTCAGTGCATCAATAGGAATTAGTGTTAGGAATAGATAATGCAAAATTTATCTTAATAAAAATGAAAGATAATATGTCCAAATTCATCTAGATAAAGATAATAGATAAAAAAATTAAAATATCTAGATAAAGATAAAAGATAATTTCATTTTTATCTAGATAAAAAAAAATATTTTAAAAAAATGTTATTTTTTGGTCAATATTTCATACTTTTAATAATATCTATAAAGACTCAATTATAATCATTATTATCAATAGGTAGGTACCTAATTGTTTAATGTTTATTGTAGTAATGTAGTGTACCATTAAGCAGTATTTTTTTATAATGTACAATATTTAATGATAATTTATCACTAAAATGTGACACAAAAAAAAACAACGAAAATTGCTTTGTAAATATTAGGATGAATAAAAAATACATAAGAGATTATTTTAAGTAAACAATATTGTTTTCCATATAATCTAATTTGATGATTTTCATTATTCTATAAGTAGTTACGACTTAACGGGTTCCAAGAATGAAGTATTGACTATTCAGCGTATGAGTTACGTTTGTATACTAAAATCAAATACCTACTATATTTGGAACTTTCATGGAAAAATAAGAAATTAAGTTTAAAAATACTAAACATATTTTCCCGACATGAAAATACAAACAAAATGACATACCAAGAAATAATAATTACTTATTTTAATAATGCACAAATTATAATTATGAATACAAAATCTATATATATACAAAAGAAAGTCGGTTTAGTTACAGAATTTATAATTCAAGAACGGCTGGACTGATTTTGATGATCTCTAATTATTGGATTCGTCTCCGTACAAAAAAAAAAAAACTCTAATCTTGACAAGAATTCACACAATTATCTAGATAAAATTATCTAAATAAGTAATTAGATAAATTGGCGTTATTTATCTAGATAGATAAAAGATGACAAAAAGTCTATCTAGATAATTTATCTAGAAAAATCCCAACATTGATAGAAATATTAAATATCAAAATAAAAATGTATATTAGGCTTCCT